GATATGGAGTTACGTTTTATGGTATGGGGTGTGGGTTCTTGGGGCATGGTGTAATGGGGAGAGGTGGGTGCATCAATGGTTCGTTGGGAGGAGGTGGAATGTCAATGTTTATTGCATGAATGCAGAGAATGTAGAAAAACAGATTAAAGAAATAGAAACCAAGAAAACACAAAGCCGTACAGTACGCGGCTTACAAAACCACAAAATGACCAAGCACCAGACTCTCTGCCGCGATCTCAACAAACCATTTTCTCTCCATGACGCTTATTAGCTTTTTTGGTAATGCGTTAACAGCCTACGGTCCAGCCCTTGCAGTTTTTCTACTGTATGTAGCAAGGAATGCTCAGCTTGTTATTCTTCTCATGACAAGGTACGTAAAAACATGATATTGGGCACACAATGTTGATAAACTGACTGGGACCTTGTACAGTGCATTTTTCTGGCTCTTGTCCATCCTTTTTTCTTCTGTATTTTGGTATCTTATCAAACCTTTACAAAATGTTCCTGTCGGTACCATATTTGTCGCTGTTACATTACAAGAGCTGTTTAGATTCCTATTCTTCAAACTCATGAGGTATGGTAACCATTGTAGAAAACGATTTTGAATTGTTTCTGAAAACTGATTTTTGTCTACAGTAAAGCCGAGAAGGGTCTAAATATCATTGCAAAGACTCCAAACTCTCCATTAAACCGACCTGCCAATGCCTTTGGTATGTCACTTGTGCATGATAACTTTTGATACCGATATTCTGATTTTCTATAACAGTGACTGGATTGGGATTTGGAATCATGAGCGGGTTGACGTTGTATTTATCACAATTGGCTGAATCGGCTGGCCCAGCTATACTTGCTTGCAATTCATGTCCTGGAATGGATGTGTTTTTTGTGGGAGGTATGTAAACCTCAACTTGTCGTCGACATACGTCTCAAAAGCATGTACTTATCATTTATCATCCCAGCATTGACGACCTGCCTATTTATATTTCTTCATAGTGTCTGGAATATGGTTGCATTCGATGGCTGGTACCGTGGGCAATGGCTACCGTTTGGTTTCGTGATGATCTCTCACTATGCAGCATCATATGGGGTGTGTACATGAGAACGTTCGATGACGGGATATCTTGACTAATATCATTTTTTCCATTACCTAGACGCTCTTGACGCCATCATCCATTGAGTACGGCTGTGCCATTGCTTTACTGATAGATTTTGTCATTTTGATAGTGTGTACGACGTTGGCGGTGCGACCGATCCTCGTCAGTTAGATATCTGTAAATAGCCGATTGCCAAATGACAAGGAGTGTATTATATGCGATTTTGGTACTTGTTCTAGTTGAACTTGTCCTAGGCGACGGACGTAGTTAAGAGCTATGGAAGGGCTATGAACGAGTAAATAAACCGAGAAGCTTCATGGGAGAGTACATTATATTTACACAATTACTGAATCTTTATACGGCTAATGCTTCCCTTAGCAGCTTCTTTTGATCTTCGTTGAGATATGTAGGAAATTTAAGGTTGAATTTAATCAGTAATTTTCCACGGCTGTCGGGGTTCTTGGAAAGAGGCATGCCTTCATTTGGAACTTGCTTTGTATAATCCGGGCTAAAAAAAATGGATCCCAAATTTCGTCAGTCGATGAGCTACTATAAAGACATTGCCAGCAAAAGGTCACATTCACGTACTGCACGATATCATTGACTGGGATTTTCAAAATCCGTCCATCGAGGGTTTTGATTTCCACAATGGATCCAGTGAGGGCTTTATACAATGGAATATCCGCCTTGAAGATCAAATCATTTGCTTGTCGAATAAACCGCTCATGAGGGGCCTCTTTGACGATAAACACGATATCTGCAGGGATTTTGTTTGGTCCTTGATCGCCTTCTCGTGGGAAGGTAATTCTAGTCCCTGAACGCCATCCTTTACGGACGTCTATGGTGAGAAGCTTTTCCACTGAGCTTGTGGTTGTGTTGTCGTCGTTTAGGACCTGTGTTTATGCGTAAAATGAGAAGCAGTGCGGATAAGCGAAATTGGTTGAGAAATAATATATACCTTTCGGGAAATCTTCATTTTTTTCACTGTCCCCAAATATAACTCTTCCAATGTTAGTTCAAGGTCATGCTCGACAGGTGGGTCTTGTACTGGGCCAGTGAGAGGATTTGCTTGATCTGCGGGACGGTTCATGCCATGAAGGCCACCAAATCTGGGACCGAATGTAGAGGCGGTGGGATCCTGTGATGGTCCAGGCACTCCTGTGTGGACTGCAAAGAAATCTGGCAATATTGGATGGCTATTAGTATGAACAGTGATGGTACACTATATAAGCTCTCAACGTACCAGCAAACGGATTCTTCCCTCCAAAAAACTGGGCAAACGTTTCCTCTGGGTTGCCATGATATTGATATCCTCCAGGAAATCCCTCGAAACCTGCGAGAAAGAAACGATCAGCATCGGTCGTAGATTGGCCAACCCAAGCGAGGCACTCAAAGTGATCGTATTCTTTCTTACCTTCTCTAGCTGGAACCCCATTTTTCAGTCCGTTGGGTCCATACTGATCATATATTGCACGCTTTTTGGCTATTAAAGGGCGTCCCATGAGAAACTGCACTGCATTCCTAACAACCAACCACCATCTCTCACCATCGTGTAGAACATCATAGGCTTCACCAATCGCCAGAAACTGTTGAATGGCCTCTGGAGAAATGTTTTTTTCGGGATGATACTGGGCAGGCCAATTAATTGAAAGTCGTTGACGATAGCCGTTGGTAGGCAGTTCCTCCACACACCTTTAACGCAAGTTTACGATAAGCTTTCTTGATGCCAGCATCATCCACGGATCTGTCGACTCCGAGGGTTTTGTAGTAGTCGGCAACGATATGGGATGGGTGGGCGGTTGCTGCCATCTTTTGCAAGTTCGCTGGTCGACGACGGTGTAAATTCCCAACAAACTGAATCTTTGGTCGGACAAATGCTTATGTAACACGACAGAGCGCGACTTGAACTGGATCGGCCGAGGGAAGCTATTGGGAAAACAGGACATGAAGCATTTGCATTGAGTAGAGTCGGATATATTTTTGGACAAGAAAGAAGCGAATATGAGGTATTTATTTATTAGAAATGAGGTCTATTCATTATCATAAGCTGAGATGAGGTCAAGGAGCTCAGACAAAGGGTGCATCTCAAGCCAAGCATCCACCAAGTCATTACGAAGCCCAGTATGCCACCTGTCTGATGCATCCATCTTTGTAATCTTCTTGTAGATGTTTCCGGTGAGAATCCGCTTCTCATTTTCATCGCTCCCTTCAGGAAACGGGTATGTGGAGAGCCACTCCCTAAAGACAAGGTCAGCTACATAAAATCCATTCATTGGACTACTGATATTATCTACCTCACGAGCAAGAGGTGGTGAGACCTCTCTTCCACGATGTGCCGCGCACAAAGGGCAAAGCGTTCTGTAGAGGGCCTACGGGCTTCCACAGAGCACTTAACCCCGGTGTCCGGGTCAAAAGCCTCGCAAGTTGTCCATCCTCTACGTGCTATGAATGCTGTGAGAATAGGCAAGTAGACTCCAAGAGCATTGACTATTCAAACTCACGCGACGTGAATTTGCCGCCAACGTTGGGATTAATCCCAACAACTTCCACAAAGTATGCCTCCGACTCGGCATTGTTGGGTACTTTCTCAAAGGTGCGTCGTTTGTTTACGTACATGGTTGAATGATTTGTTTTTAACAATAAATTCAAATGTAGGCTACAGCAAGCTGACCGGGGGGAACTTGACCCAATGCTTTATATAAAAGAATCCTCTACTTGCACGTGGGAATACTTTCATCTTTTTCTTTCTGCAACAAGGAGAAAGAAAGAAAGAAAGAAAGAAAGAAAGAGAGGCACTTTTCTTTTTCTCTATTACAACAACAACAACAACTCGTTATTACAAGACCTATACTATGATGGTCCAACCTTTGCGAGGGGTGTCTTGTCTTTGACGTGACACACGGACTTGGACTGCTGGTTAGTATGGAATGGATTCATGACATTTCCTATTAAGATGGCTAACATATTGCTTCTAGGGATGAATATTGGTAAGAATGTTATTGTTATGGATTATTTGTTATTCTCAATCGCATTTCTTATTATTAATTTTGTATGATTTCATTACAATTATAAACACACAGGACACGCGGAACACGTCTTTCCATCTCCCCCCCTTTCCATCTCACTCGTTTTGGCAAAAAGGGTTCCCTGCACTCCCCGTGGACTCTTGCGTGCTGATGACAGATTGACCTCACTTTCGTACAACGAGAGGAACGCCCAGGTCTGGACGCCCAATGATTAGCAAATACGCAATTGGACGGAAACATTGAAGATTACAAAGGACACAAAAATGGATGCATCTGGCAGGTGGCATATTGGACTTTTTGAGAACTATTCCCTTTTCGTGAAGGGAGCGATGAAATAGAGAAGCGGATTCTCAGCGGAAACATTTACAAGAAGATTACAAAGGACACGAAGATGGATGCATCAGGCAGATGGCATATTGGACTCTGTGAGGACTTTTCGGAACATCCGCTCAAAATCGGGTTTTCTGCGGCATCCAACGAATCCTTCGACAAGGGATTTTTAAGGTCTGAAGTAGAATGTGGAGCCCGCTTTATGCCCACGCTCTACACAAAGAGCCTACCTGCTGGTGAGCTTGTCTGCTATCTGGATTTGTCCACGATAGTATATAATATCCAGCGCAACCCGTATGATTTGAGGGTTCCTGCTTTTGAGGATGGAAGAATTGATCTACCCGCCATTCCTCATCTGCCAAAAAACCGTCACCCTCTCCGTGATATCATTACGTAACAGTGCACTCTGTATGTAACCTGCAAGGATTGGCAGTTAGATAACAAATTCTACGTCCCCAGCTGCAGCATTAATAGCACTCAAAAATGTTACTTGATGTTAATATAACGCAACAACTAATCGCTGCTGCTCAATCGATTCCGTAAGAAGGATTAAGTCCTATCATACTCATTGAATCCTACTATATTGCCCCTTTATAGAGCGATAAAGCGCAACTTTGGCGAGTATCAGTGCAACATCAGATCACGCTTCTGTCCATCTCTCGCGGGTAGTCGCTCTACTCCCACGTACGTAACAGTCGGAGATGAACAAGTGTGTGGCTTAGTCAGGCGACGGTCACGTGCCCTAGAAGAAACCTTGCCGTGGCATTGGAATCGGCATTTGCGGGCAAGTTGAACTCAACCAACTCCGTTGCAGAAAGATCATTTTACAGGCCTAACAATGTTCCGATATTGAGCAGGAACAAGAAAACTCTTTGTTCCATAATAGTTGCCATCGGAACCTGCCCTATTTTGAATATTCCATCCCATCGCTCGCAGTTGGAGATGTCCGCCGTCTGGTGTCGTTGGGCCATTTGGACGACCACTGATCGTCAGACCATCCACGGGATAAAACGGCTCAACAAGGGAATTGCTCGGCCGTTGTAAACGTTTGCGCAGACAAATTGGCTGGGAGACCGCGTGCATTCAGCAGAGACGCTGACTGGGTAAGCAGTCGAATGGAGTAAGTGTCATTATATTGTGGATTTATTTATTAATCAATTTGGATGGTTGAAGCCTTAGCCGGCTGGATCCACCACTTTGAGGATACTGTTCGACCTGCCCAAGATTCGCCTTTGCTTTTTCCTGGTCGGATCTGAAAACCATTTGCTTCAAAATCTGAACCAGAAAGTGCTTCAAGCAGCCTCTAGTGTGGAGGCCTTGACGCCACGCAAGTCTTGGTACGCTACTTGGTGGTTTTGGGGGAAATAAACACGGTGCATGAAGGTTTGATTTGTGTGCGTTGTGAGTTTCGTCGATATTCCGAGTGTAAATATTCCCTCTATACGTAGTTCGGAAAGTACATTCAAGCCCAACAGACGGATTGGGCTGGTCCTCAATACCTGAACTATAAAGGCTTGAAGAAGATTATCAACTCTCTCCAAAGCTCCAATGATCCCCACGCGACATTTACAACGTTAGCGGCGAATAACCCGCCAGGCGTCTCTTTCGGAGTAGCGGATGACAAGCATTCAGAAGAATATCAGGCGCTAAAGACTGCCTTCTTCTTCAAGCTTGAACGAGAGTTGGAAAAGGTATCTCGACTCTACTACTTGTGATGCCAACCATTGGCAATTCTGTTGACAATACTTTCCTCTGCAGGTCAACGCCTTTTACTTGCAAAAGGAAGCTGATCTAAAAGTTCGTCTCCGCTCGCTGATAGACAAGAAACGAATATGGCAGAGTGGAAAGAGCCGGCAAGTCAGCGCATCCCTCCCGACGCTCAAGGAAGGATTTTTGCAATTTCAGCGGGATCTCACTAAACTGCAGGTACGCTAGTATGTTTCCCATCTGATATATCTCATCCACTAACAGCAAGATGTAAAAAGAAATTTGTCGAGGTGAATGCAACAGGTTTTCGTAAGATCCTGAAGAAATGGGATAAACGATCAAAGTCGTCAACAAAAGAGCTGTATCTATCACGACAGATTGAAATCCAGCCCTGCTTCAACAACGATGTACTCGCAGAACTTACAGATCAGGCGACTACGCACTTGGCAGAACTTGAAAACCTGCTTAGCAAAGAGGATGTAGATCCCATTGCGAATATTCGGGAGGCGGTAACAGGCGAAACGCACGGTGACGTAGAAAGCGAGCTCACAGGAGCTCTAAAAGCGAATAATGTTTTAGGGGTACAAGAATTTCTGTCAAAGAGATCTCGGGATGTTCGTGCTACGGGGCAGGGAGTGGAAGATCGAGAGATTTTGAGCAGAAGCTTTCTCCGTTTCTGTGTAGAATCCAATACGGAATGTCTGGATGTGCTGTTTGCAACGGGCGAGGTTGATTGCAATTTTGTCGATGATATTAGCGGTCGCACATCTTTGCACGAAACATCAATTGCCGGACGTCAGGAGGTGATGCGGGAATGTGTCCGCCATGGCGCTAATGTGGAGGCAACGGATGTATATGGACGAACAGCTCTTCACTATGCGGCAATGTACGGTCGGCCTGATTGTGCGCTATATCTTCTTTCATCGGGTGCCAAGGTCCACGCGATCGATCATGACGGATGCACACCCTTAATTTATTCGATAACCGGCGGCCACACAAAGTGTGTTGAAATTTTAATCGACCATGGGGCGGTAGTTGAGCCACATTCTGCCACGGCACCAATCCCGCTGAATCTCGCGTGTCAACACGGCCAGAAAGACATTGCGATGCTACTACTGAGTAAAGGTGCACGGTTGACAGCCAATTCAGAGGGCCTGTTTCCGTTGCATTTGACGTCGCGGGAGGGCCACTTTGACATTTCGCAAATGCTCATCAACCATGGCGCAGATGTTAATGCGCCAGACAATCTCAACGGTTGGACGCCCATTTTTTACGCTGCGTCAGAAGGTCATTTGGAATGCGCAAAAGTTCTCCTTAAAGCAGGTTGTCGGATCAATATCAAAGATGAAAGTAACTGGTTGCCGTGGACGTATGCATTATATCGAGGTCATATTCGGGTAGCCCGATTGCTTGAGTTGCAAGGTGTAGAGTCACCTATATCTCAAGAATTAGTACTGGCCCAAGATGTAGGGATTAAACCCATGGCTCCGAGCGGTTTGTTCTCTGAAGAGAGTAATCCCGAAGACATGGATATCGACGCGCTCCCTGATTTGTCCTTACCACCCCCTATCATTCCTTTCCGAATCTAGTGAGTGTTACTCGACGTCAAGTAGAGACCCGAAATGGAGGCTAATATCTGAATGTTTCTATAGTGGCCACGCGTTCCTGGACAAGAAGCATTATATTCAAGTAACGTTTCGAAATACACAAGCCGGATCACAAAAGTCGCCCATCTCATTATTCGGATCTCAACCTCTTTCGTCGTTGAAAATGGTGATCAGTAGCAAGCCAGAGGTGGGCATTCCTTACAGTGTGATACTACCCCTTCAAGACGACCTAGAAGTCTACACCTTTCTGGTTGAGGACCTTGCCAATTTTTCCTTGCAATTCGATGTATTTCCAACGTTTGGAACAAAGCCCATAGGACGTGGTGTTGTCCTACCCTCCCAATTAGCCATGACGATTCTCAAAAGTTGGAATGGCGCTGGAGAAAGTGAGCCATGCATATGCCCGCTTTTCGATTCCCATTTAAGGGTTGTGGGAGAATTATCGTTTGACTTTGCTGTGGTTAAACCATTTGCGCATCCAAGCCTGTCAATTGGCGGAAAAGTCGAAACTTATTGGAAAACTACAAAGGTTTGCATTGCATCCTTGCGACAATCGATTTCGTGTCAAAAGGTTTTTAACCAATTTTCGCATCTTTCAGGTTGTTGGCGGGAATAAAACCGAAGGCGTGCATTCCTTCATCACCGCCTCCTCCTTGGCGGAAGAGTATATACAGGTGATCGTTCAGCTAACAAAAGACGGTGTACCGGTTATATATCCGAAATGGCATTTGCCCCTCAAGGATGTCGATCTCGGAGTATCCAATGTATCATTCTCGCAAGCTCGGGCCCTGTTTAACCGAGCAAAAGGATCTGGTGGTGCAGCGGACATACACAGCCCAACGTCCACTGTTTCTATAGACACGATGCTGAGCCCAACGTACGCCCTTAGCCAATCACAACGACTACCAACTGGCGATTTGGCAAAGCTGGTATACGATTCGTTCTTTAGCCTTCGCGAACTTCTTATGGTGAGTACCCGGGAAACAACTTTTCTTTGCGCAAAACGTAATACTTGAGTAACTAAATTGGCTATCCTCAGACCTTGCCTCCTTCAGTTGGAGTTAGCATTGTCCTAAAGTACCCGACATCATCCGAGCGATCCGTCTGCAATCTGACAAACCTTCCCGATATTAACACATTCGTCGACGCTGTCCTCCAAATTGTGTATGACCAAGTTGCCCATCGATCCATCATTTTCATGTCGTTCAACCCGTCTATTTGCACGGCCATAAACTGGAAGCAGCCGAATTATGGCGTCTTCTTTGGAACTCGGTGCGGTTTTGGAATGGATGGGATAGACCTGGAAGACACAAAGACTGGAATATCTTCGCCATTACGAAGCACGCAGGATGAAAGAACCGAAACGGTAGAAACGGACATGCGCTGCACATCGATAAAAGAGGCTATTCGATTCGCCAAATCCAGTAATCTACTCGGGGTCGTTTGCGAGGCAACGCCATTGGTGGGCATCAGTTGATCAAAAAATTCCAACTCGCCATTTTGCTAACAACCACTTCATTTACAGGTCCAAGTGCCCATCTTGATCAATACGATAAAAGAGAGCGGGCTCATCTTGGCAACCTGTGGATCCGCCAACGATAGTCCTCCTAATGTCCGAATACAAGAGGAGCATGGCGCCGATGCTATTATCGTAAACAATGTCTTCCGATATAACGTTACATAGGATAGTTATCTGTAGGTAGTTTCATTTTGTTTGTTAACTTTTTGTACTATTACGCTTCCCTTGCCCCCATATTTGATGTGTGTCGCGGCTGACGTAAGATTTAATGTTTCGCGTCCTTTGTCGGAGTAACTGGGCAAAAGCTGTATTTTAGCATACAATATCAGTGTATAGAGAAAATGGCGTTGGGCAGCAAAAAGAATGGTGGCAAGAATTCCAAGAGCCAGAAGGCTAAAAAATCCATCAATGCAGTAAGTATCCGACGTTCGGTATAGTCAACCCGCTGCAAGCCATCAAAAAGTGTATGAGATATTTCATTCTAATCTGTACGATCTGACTAAAGTTGTCCCTCGCCTCTCCTTTTGGCAGCTTGTTCTTGCATCAGGAACGCTAGCAACACCTTCTGTCCCGTCCTTCTTCTCCGCAATACAGGTCCACCTTCGCCCCCGATCGAAAAATGACGGCCCTTTGAAGCCGCGAGCATTGTCCGCGTCACGTCGAGCGCAGAGTATGAGTGTACTCAGTACAGATACTGCTGCATTGGCCGCGGTGAAAAGTAATGCCCAGCGTGAACCGCCCGTTATGATAGAGCGGCGGATACCTACGCGGGGTCCGGTAAAGCAGCCGACGCCTACAAGTGATAATTTTCGTCCCCAACATGTTGAGACTCGTTCAAGCGCCGATAAAATAGTAAGCAGTACAGAACGGGCGGACATCACGGGTGAATGCAAATTCTCGGGTGTTCCAGTCGAAGATAACGACGTGGATTTGGATTTTGATGTAGAGTTTGGGTTCACGGATGTCCGGCATGCACCATTGGCCAACCTGGGGCATATACTAGCTGATGAAAATCCGACATCTGGTCCAATACATGCCAATACCCAAGACAACAGCAAGAATCCATTGACTCGCAAATCCTCAGACCGCAACATATCTCCCCGTCGAATCCAATCTGCACCTACCGGCCTGCTAAAAATGTATGATGAGAGCATGCTCTTAGAAGACGACCCTACAGATGAGTGGTTTGTACCTTCCGTAAAGGCAAAAGCGGAGCGTAGACTTGGGCGTGGTGGAATGGTGGGAGCAGAAGAAGAAGAAGAAGATGAGGGAATCAAATTGGAGAGCTGGGATGATGATTTTGATGTTGGTGAAAAGGATGATTTGGATATCCCGGATTCTGTTCAGAATCTTCAAAAGCATATTCGGGGTGATGTGGTCAATCTGAAAAAGTTTGCTCTTCATATCGAAGGTGCGTGTGATCATGTTCAATCTACTTTTATTATGGCTTTTTCCATTTGTTTATTCACTTCTGAATTTCTAAAATTGCAGATCTGAAGTTAATATTCCTTGACATGCACGACATGGCATCAGGAATTCCTTCCAACCACACCCAAGCACTACGGACCCTCCAAACCACATACAATAAAGAAATCGAGAAAGCCGAAGTTTTAATTGCTATAGGTGACTACGCCGAGGACCGACCTCAATGCACTGCACCCACAGCACGACACCTACGCGTTTTGGCGGAAATGTTGCTAGGAGGGGCTAAAGGGAACGTACTCTCATCTCAAGCCGCGGAAGATATCACGCGGATGGTCGAGCAGGAAAGTCTGGCGTTTGGGGTGGAACTTGTTCCAGCTTTAATGAAGCATATGAGCCCACTAAAGCAGGCGTTGACAATGTACGTGGAACAATTGAGGCAGCTCTTACTGCAGGGAAATGACTTTTGAGGAACTGGATAGGGCCAATGTATAGAGAAAAGGGGTTTTTTGGGTGTGCGTGATGGTCTGTACAATTTGTTGAAACCTGTCAGTGAGACTCACTGATATCGTACAAACTTTTTTTTGTATAAATAGAGACTGGTAGAGATTTAAAAGATTCCATGGTCAACAATGACATCGCAACCAGGATATGGCTTTTTATTTAACTCTTCTTCGCGTAGCTTACAAGGTAAAAATACGCTACGACTCGGCGCTCTGAAGTGCAGCGAGTAAAGCTTTGCTTTTAATAAGTCTGCAATCCTCGTTCGCGGGTTAAGCTATGCATTAATGCGCAAACTGTGGATAAACAAACGGGAAGAACTGAACAAACCGTCTAGATGATGGCTATATCCGAATTCATGCATTTCAACCATCAATTGGGCGAGCAAAGTGATATCTGAAATCCCAATAGTGTGTTTGAACTTCAAATTCGCGTTGGCCATGAATGCTACCGCGTCATGTCGCAATTGCCCCAACCTGAACCCGTCACCTTTTTCAGCAGTCCGGAGGGTTACTTTACACTATGCAATGAACTCCGCCTAGATCTCCAGCCTAATCCCTCCATCGGTACACATGTATGCACTGTAACAACAAAGACTACCAATGCGACAACAGGTCCCACCGATCCGGTGGACAGCACCCAACAACCTGCCCGATTTGTGGAAGTTCCTGTAAGCGGGGATGGTACGCAGCGCCGAAATTGCAGCTAAAGAGAGTTATCAACCGCTTATATACGTTGCGCGCTTTTAGATAAAGGTAGCTTTTCATTTATTAACAAGGACAAGGGGAAGGTCAAAAAAGCAAAATCATCGGTGACAAAGCCCGCGAGCTTTGTTTCCAAAGTCGTCGCCAATGAGCAGGTAGATCTCCATTTTGTCGAATAACTTGGAAAGTTCGCATTGTAATTGATCGAGGCACCCTGCAGTTGGCAAAGATCCTCTCCTATCGGCCGACGGAATCATCGTATATGCTCTTCAATGTCGGAAAGAGTTTGATTTGGGCAGACTATCCCTGTAAACAAAAGGTTGTGCTCACATTGTAGCTTATAGTCTGTCGTGACACTCATCATCACTGTCATCGACAGGAACCTTTATCGTACATCCATTTTCGAGATGCATATGTTACTTGTTTTGACATTAGTATGCTGACGCGCGATAACATCGACACTGTCATTGGTGTGTACTATCTGGATTATCCACGTTCGTCAGAATGCTCAATGTTTGAGGATAGGATTTAGCACGGGCGACATTTTGTGGTATTCTCCAATATCTGGGAAATTTGCAAGGTTAAACAAACAGGTAGGCAAAGACTTGATACGGAAAATCTTTTGTACATGCCCTGAATCTGACATATATCAGGGAATCATCAATAAATCGGCTGTGACCTGCATAAAATGGATGCCTGTAGGTGTACATCCTTAACTTCACCGCTGCTTTCGACTGCTCACGTGGCGCCACTGAAGCCCCGTGGCACAAGAGACGACGAGAATTTCTTTATAGCCGGTTTTGAAGACGGCAGGTATAAGTGAATTTTGTTTGGATATGAGATCAACAAGGCAATATCTGACCCACTTGAAGAGTGATAATATTCGACCGAGAAAAAGATGACCCTAGTAGCAGTACAGTGGGACCAACTGCAACGGACGATGACTCGTAAGTGTCAATCTATTTGATGATCCAAAGAACGACCGACTGAAATTCAATACGTAGACTATTCACTGTAAATAAGCCCCCAAAAGCACCCAAGACGAATCCGTGTTCATGGTGGCAAATGGGAAAGAAGGCAATAACTGGTAAATCAGCTTACTGGTTTCTTATAGTCAGTCACTGCTAATCAGTGAGTCGACAGCCATAGCATTCTCGCCAGACATTCAACATGCGGCAGTCACTTCCATGGACGGATGCCTACGGATAGTAGATCATCGCCATGAAAAGCTTCTTGACACATACAAAAGCTACTTTGGGGGCTTCACATGCGTTGCCTTCTCGCCAGATGGAAAATATATTCTTACCGGAGGACAAGATGATTTGGTCACCATCTGGCAATTTCGCAAGGGAATTGTAGCACGATGCCTTGGACACTCTTCATGGGTGCGTATAGCTCTGTCATGCCGACTGTCACTCTTTTTCTCATTCTCTTTTTTTGCAGGTAACAAGCGTTGCATTCGACCCACATCTGTGCACTGACAGAAGTTATCGATTTGCTAGCGTCGGAGGTATGTATTTGTATCTGCTTGGAATGCACCTACTTTGAGACTGAGAAACCGTTTCACCTACCAGACGATACACGGATATGCTTGTGGGATTTTGCCCTCCCAACACTACATCGACCAAAGATGGTGAGTGAGCTTGGGGACGTTGAGACGGTCATTCATGTACCAGGTTGTCATTATTTGTTTGCTTTGTTTGATAGTCTACGTCGACCATGAGACGATCGCGGCAAGATCTGCAGGAACGACGCTCTGATCGACCTGATTCTGTACACCCTGTACTATCCCGCAGCGAAGTTGTATCCATGCCTCCATTTATGGTATGTGCTGACATGCGAATTATCTGAACGTAGCCTGTGGCTCACTTTCATGGCTAGTCCAAAAGCATCCACAATGATCCCTTGAACTCTGTAACGTTTCGCGATGATTCTGTTGTTACCACAGACAAACAAGGCACGATTAAAATCTGGCTACGTCCGCATCCTGTACAATAATTATTTTAAATACTGTAATTAGTTTCCCTGCTTTTGAAGTCTTTTAAATAAATCTTTTTCCTAAGTCCAATATCCAAAGCTGGTTCCAAATTTGAAGACTGGATCAGATGAGTATCACGGGATCTGCTGGAGCGTCTGACGTGGTTACTTGCAACTCGCATCCTTTACGTTGGGCAGATAACCCAGAACACGCCTGGTGCCCATACATCACTTCCAAGTGCAGCTTTTACATCACGCTGACTCCGAACGCTTTATCCGGCACGTACCTTGCCTCACTTTCCAAAGACTCAATTCCGAACGCGACGTAAGTTTTGCATTAGCGTAAACGTGCCGTTGCTCCCCATCGTGGATCTCCGTGTCATGGTATTAATCGACGGCTCCTCCGCAACCACTCTTGTAATGTATTCACGTAGCCTATACCCATAAACGCAATCATGGTGGAAACGCGTTCGTCTAAAGCAAAGAAAGAGTCTGCAGAGTCGGGTAAAAAGCCTCAGGACACGGACAAGGAGGCTCCTGTACCCATGGATGTGGAAAAGACCGAGGAGGAGAAGAAGGCGGATAATGTCGCGGCGGTTCTTGCTGGTGAGTGTTTAAGCAGCTTCAACTTGGAGATGTCATTGCTGTCCCGCCGAGCGGTGCCTCCACTGAAGATGATATTCTCCTTGGTCATCATGTATTGATAATTTCTAATGAATGCGTGCCTTAGACATAAAACAGAACATCAATTTGCTGGAGCGCGCTGTAGCCACCCTCGAAGCGCGGTTTACTACCCGCGCTCTCCGCACAACAGCATCGATCCGCAAAAGGCTGACTCCAGAAATCTTGACGCAAGCGATCAATATTTACTTTCCCAAAGATCACGCGGCAAAAGATGCCCTCCTCAAACGCGTTGGCAAGGTATGGTTTTATCTTGTGAATAATCCTTATGATACCTATGTCTTAAGGCTTTCAATCAGGCGTCTGACGAGATGGATGTGGATCAGGGGGAGCAAAAGAGCGATGCAAAAGATGGCAGAGGATTTCTTCCTGAACATGAAGTTTACCTCAGCTATCTAGTCCTTCTTTATCTTCACGATCAGAAAGATTACCAACAGGTTGGTGTGGTCTTCATGCCCACCATGCCATCATGATTGGTGTTGATATTGGATCTATTCGTTTAGGGCATGCAACTAGTGATAGAATTGGTGGATAAAGTCCAGGCTCTCAACCGTCGCACCTTGGATCAATTAGCCGGACGCTTATATTTCTACTTTGCTCGCTTTTATGAGCTGGCTGACAAGCTTGCCGAAGCAAGGCCGTGAGTGTCAAGAATTCAATGTTCCTGCGTGGCCAGCTGACTAAACATCATTTATAGTGTGCTTCTTGCGGCACAGCGAACTGCGACTCTTCGCCATGACGATGATACACAGGTATTGTCCGTCCCCTAATCTCCTCAACTTCAACAAGACTTATTTTCCTGCATTGTTCAGGCTACAATATTGAACCTCCTGCTTCGCAACTACCTAATGTTCAACCTCTATGATCAAGCGGATAAGCTTGTATCAAAGGCTACATTTCCTGAAAATGCATCCAACAACCAGATGGCGCGACATATGTATTATTTGGGTTAGTATGGCATTGACTGTGCTTTTCTTTGACCAATCTGATAATTGTACCGGAATAGGACGTATCAAAGCGATCCAGCTGGACTACACAGCTTCCCACAGACATCTGTTACAAGCCGTTCGGAAAGCGCCACAAAGTGTCGCCAGCGCCGGCTTTCAGCAGGCGGTAATGCTCCATTCGATTTTCATACTATGTCTGTGGCTGACGATGTCGTTCCTTTTCCAGGTGAATAAGCTGGCTATCATTGTGCAGCTACTTATGGGAGAAATCCCCGACCGGGCAATATTCAGGCAGCCAATGTTGAGGAAGTCCCTCGTACCATATTTGCAAATTACCCAAGGTAGGGGTAACTTCTTTTGCGGTTCTCAGTGTGCAGCGCTCAAACATTCGCGCTTTCGACAGCTGTGCGAATTGGAGATTTGGCAAAGTTCCAAGAGACTCTAGCTCAGCACGGTGCCACCTTCAGGGCGGACAAAACTTTCACTTTGATTCTTCGGTACGTCTGATACTGGATTGCATTGTTTTGTGGTGCATCTAATTTTCGGCATATACTCCTGTGCAGTCTCCGCCATAACGTCATCAAAACTGGTGTTCGCATGATTAGCTTGTCATACTCTCGTATCTCCTTGCGAGACATATGCCTCAAGCTGCAGTTGGACAGCGAGGAAGACGCTGAGTACATTGTTGCAAAGGTGCATACTTCTCAGCAGATGTTGGCATGAACGATCCACTAACGCACGCAGTGTAGGCTATTCGAGATGGTGTCATAGATGCCACGATTGATCACGAGAAGGGCTTCATGAAGTCAAAGGTATTTACAGTGTCATTTCCGTTTGCGGTGTGAAAAGCACTAAATCCTGATGCGCTGCTTAGGAAAACGTTGATATCTATTCCACCAATGAACCCCAAAATGCGTTCCACCAACGTATTAGCTTCTGTCTGAACCTGCATAACGAGAGCGTGAAGGTAATTCTTGTTGACATGTTCAAGTGGCTTGTTATTCCGTACTTATGAATGTGTGATCCCTAGGCCCTCCGCTTCCCACTAGACATTCACAGGAAGGAGCTCGCCAATGCGACAGCCCTTCGTGAAGAAGAGCGGAAATTAGCAAAGGAGATTGTGGATGGGGAGATTGGGGATGACGAGGATATGGGGGAAGACTGGTGATTTGAAGATGTAGCTTGTTATCAGACTTTCTGTGTGTTGTGTGAGGAATATGACTATGATGCCCTCGGAGCTCATTAGTTAGATTTAAAGAGATACCTGCTGTTTTGCTGGACACGATACGAGGGTGCGTTACCCAGTAATTATTTTTGTGAGGAATGCTCGAGGGCTTCTGCAATTCTCGTATAGAAGACGTCCATTGTCTACTTTTGACAACCTGCTGCAAACCTGCTCTGTTGGCAAATACGTGCAGTGCACGACGCGTCGTTGGAAGATGACGTGGTTGATGACGCATCAGCTCGCCATCTGGCCAGCTACTGGCAAGCTTCGACCTACTGCCAGTATTCAACAGAAATGTCACTGAAATCTGCAGCAGATTTGGCAGCTATAGGCCGCCGGCGACTAGGGAAGGGAGTTTCCCGAATAACTGAATTGGTATGGGAGCGAGGTCAAGGTTCCTGGCTCTACAGCACCGACGGGCAAAAGTTTCTTGACTTTACATGTGGAATTGGGGTAACGAATCTGGGTATGAAATTGCGTCGTCTTGTGCATTGTTCTCTGTGCATCATTGGTAAGAATGGCTTGCTTGTATATCAGGTCATTGTCATCCAGCAGTGACGAAAGCGGCTCAAAAGCAATGTGGGCAACTCGTTCACGCGCAATGCAACCTGGGTTATCACCATCCACAAATTACATTAATGGAGAAGCTTCTACCTGTTATGCCGCATAAGTCTTTGGACACGTTTATTTTTGTAAACTCTGGTTCGGAAGCGGTTGAGGCGTCTATCAAGCTTGCTAGGCATGCAACGAAGAAGCAAAACATTATTGTCATGCAGGTATGATATCCGCATTCGCGATATGAATCATAATGCGGGTTGTAAATGTGTGTGGACTTAGGGAGCATTTCATGGAAGAACTGTTGCGACCATGGCCATGTCCCGGAGCAAGACGATTTATTCGGCGGGATTTGGTCCGTTGATGGTAAGAGTGGCAGAATGTTCAATTACAGGCGGCTATCGATGACTTTTGTGATTGTAGCCAGGAGTATTTGCAGTCCCGTTTCCATACCATTACCATCATCGCAATATGTCGTTGGAAGAATGCTGCGACGACGCTATCCAACAGTTAAAGATCCTATTGAAACAACAGTCAGCACCTGGAGATACCGCGGCATTGATCATTGAACCTGTTCTTGGTGAAGGAGGCTATGTGCCTGTGCCTAAAGGTAACACCCGCGCTTGTATGCCTTCTCTACATCGAAATATGCTATACATCTCAATAACCTCCAACCATAGCGTATTTTGAGCGACTCCAGGACATATGCGAGGAGAATAAGATTCTGCTTATAGCTGACGAGGTCCAATCGGGATTTGGTAGAACTGGAAAATACTTTGCAGTTGAACATTCCGGTGTGCGTCCCGATATCATGGTGATGGCAAAGGGAATTGCAAATGGATATCCTTTGAGCGCTATTGTTAGTCGAAAGGATTTGATGGATACCCAAACTCCAGGGAGTATGGTAAGCATGAGCGGGGCTATCGATTGAATTTCCAACGATTTAACTATAGTTGTCTCGTAGGGAGGCACATACTCTGGAAATGCGGTCGCATGCGCGGCAGGTGTTGCATGCGCAGATGTGATGCAAGAAGAGAGGATATTGGACAATGTCAATGCCAGGTAATAGTGTACTCGTGGATTTATTCTAGGCTGACATATAACGAATAATTGCACATTTCAGAGGCGCCCAGCTCACTGCCGGCCTAGAAGAGCTACGACAGCACCCAAAGCTTGCACCATTGATTGGGGATATCAGAGGATTAGGTCTAATGATTGCCCTCGAGTTCTCCGAAGCTGCCCCAGCAAACTTTGCCAGTCAAGTACAGCAAGCCTGCATACGCAACGGTATGATTATCCTCACCACCTCGGTATTCGAGACGTTGAGATTTATTCCTCCGTTGACTATATCGGAGAATGAAATGAGATTAGGATTGGAGATATTTAAGAGAAGCTTTGAGGAAGCTGCAGGGAAACTCTGAAATACTGGGATGTTATATATGCTTGGCGGGAATTCGAGGACGTTGCTGTAGATAGCATTGCACCAGAGGTGTGTTTAGTTAGCTAATATCACGTGATACATCGCTCTGTTCAAAAGTCGCAGACGCTGCTGGATGGACTCTTGCTGCCGAATAATTAGTCCATAAGCCCGCCCTCAACCGGATCGTTAACGTCAGTCCCAGTTCCACGTCGTCCCAGCTTTGCGCAACAAAGACGTTTTACAAGTCCGTTTGAAGCATCTGATTTTCGTAGCCATGACCAGTTCACCGCCAATTCCGCAGTTTGCATGTAAGTGAAATATTTGGCCAAAGGCAAAGTTTGATGCTACTACAGTAACTTGACGGTTTCTTTGGTGCTTCCAGACCGAGGCAACAATGGTATTGTTATTGCAAATGGTCCTCCGGAGAACAAGACAGTCGAAGGATTCACAAGGTGAGTCGGCAACTGAAACATGTTTACCATGGGGCCATGCCCTTGATGCGCTGCAACCGTTTAGCACGGAAGATATTCGAGTGTTTGAGTACAGCCCCGAAGGAAGGTACCTTGCGTGGGTACTACAGGACCGGTACGTTTGTTTCCACCTAGACGGTGGTGATCAGAAAATCTCACAGTTTCGCGGTGCAGAGTACAGATCTATGACGCGTCCACTCACGAAAAAGTTCAAGAGATTCCACAAAAAAATGTCATCGAAGTGGAGTTCTCTCCTCGTGGTACCTTTCTTTCGACATGGGAACGCTTCGTAAAAGGAGCCGATTCCGACTCCAACCCGCACAAGAACCTTATCATTTGGGACGTTGCAACAGGAGAGCAGCAGATTGCATTCACGCAAAAAAATCAAACTGGTTGGAACGTGGACTGGACTGAGGAAGAAACGTACTGCGCACGACTTGTTACGAATGAAGTACAGTTCTTCAATCCAAAAGACTTTGCAAAGGGTGTGAGCACTCGATTGCGGGTCGAGGGCGTGGCGGACTTTTCGTTATCTCCGGGCAAGCGTGTTACGGTCGCTGCGTTCGTTCCAGAAAAGAAGGGGCAGCCAGCGGCTGTTCGATTATACGACGTGACGAACTTGAACACGCCATTAACGCAAAAGTCGTTCTATCGTGCGGATAGCGTTCAATTCCACTGGAACTCGCTCGGCACAAACGTCTTGATATTTACTCATACTGACGTAGATAAAACCGGCCAGTCGTACTACGGAGAGACCAATCTCTACTATTTATCTATTACTGGCAATTTTGATTGTCGAGTAGAACTAGGTAGGCTTATAATTGTATTGCACCTAAGGCTTTCGGAATTTTAACACCCTCGATGGAAACAGATAAACCTGGACCCATCCATGACGTCGCTTGGAGCCCGAACTCAAAAGAGTTTGTCGTGGTTTACGGTTCGATGCCCGCGAAGGCCACCCTGTTTGATCATCGTGCAAGCCCGATCTATGAGTTTGGAGCAGCTGCCCGCAATACTGTGCGCTTCAATGCTCATGGACGACTTTTGTTCATCGGGGGATTTGGGAATCTTGCTGGTGATGTGGACGTTTGGGACCGCAAATCCTTCAAAAAGCTGGCCACCATCCACGCTCCGAACTCATCAAGCTGCGACTGGTGTCCCAATGGCAAACATATAATGACTTCCACGTTATACAAGCGCCTGAAGGTTGATAATGGCATCAAGATCTGGCATTACACTGGGGCTCTCGTGCATGCAATCGAGGTGAAAGAGATGTATCAGGTACGCCAGTATATCGCAACACTGGATGACGCTATGCGCTATGCATGCTAAAAAATACATATATTACATAGGCCAAATGGCGCTCCAGTCGCCCAGAAAACTGGCCAGATATTCGGTCTCTGTCTCCTCCGCCTCAATCGAATCTTGCCGCTCCCACGCCTGCGAAACCTGTTGGAGTGTACAGACCACCTGGAGCTCGAGGTTCTGCGACGCCATCTATCTTCAAGCAAAGAGATGTCATTGCAGATGGTGCTGTGCGCAATCATACACCAGTCCCAGGGCAGACTGCGGAGGATAAAACATTGTCACGCGCCGCTCTTAAAAACAAAAAGAAGCGGGAGGCCAAGAAGAAGGTAGGTTGTTCCATCGTCTTCATAGTTTGTGATAAACACCTCTGAAAGCAGGTCATGTAGGAAGGAGATGGCAGTTCATCAGCTCCGGATAGCCCAGCCGAAGCTCCGGCATATGTACCAGTGCCAGGTCAAGCTGCCGATCTGGAAAAGAAACATAAAACTTTGAACAAGAAGCTCAAGCAAATCGCTGACATTAAAGCGAAAATTCAAGCAGGAGAGAAAGTGGAGCTCACTCAGATCAAGAAGGCTGGAGGGGAGGCTGCATTGAAGGAGGAAATCGAGGTCATAAGGAAACAGGTGAATTTCGATGATTTTTTGTCTGTCAAAATTCCTTCTTGCTCACTTTCCTGTCGTCTACCAGCTGGCAAAGCTAGGCGTCAAGCCATAGACAGATCATGCATGGTGGCTCTGGCAACTTAGATGGTGGTGTCCTTGATCGTGGATGGATCATTACGGGGATACATATATATAGGAAATCCTCGCGCCGCTTGGGATCATACTTAGAAACGCTGGTTTGCACAGATAGGGTATCGATAATGGCTTAAAATTCATGGCTGACCCTCATCCTCGACTTCTCTAAATAGAATTTTATATTTGCAGAGTATAGAGAAATGCATATGTTGTTGCCTATGATACAGACCGAATAAATCGGTACGTGGGTGGGTGGGGGATGAGTTTTAGCGATTTCGGCTCCTGCTTGCTGATCGCAGGGCTGTCGTCCTCTCGCATCGTAAGGTACGGAACATCGGTTCGGTGAGTAATTATGGTAGAATCTTGACTATGAGTTGATGCTGTATTTGTATCTGCAGCGGACACTCTCTAAGTACTCCCTTGACTAGCGGTCACTGCCAAAACATGATTACTTACCCGCACTTGACACAACTGTAAAATACGGTTTGACCTTCATCAGCAGATCGCAACTGAGCAGTGTGGAAGACCATTTCCGGGGCGTCGCACTTTGGACACTTTTCTTTGATCTAGAGGAAGAAACAGAAAAAGCGAGTTAGATAAATTGGCCTTCAATCTATCAATCTGCTGAAAACCGTGAAGCGAAACCCACCGTTGCACCATCCCTGAGATGTTGACTTGTTCGTCCTCCTTCGGTTGTCTCTGTATCCTCGGTCGTTTCAATTTGAGGACGGTCTGGGAAAGCTCCAGGTCTACTTTTGGTCACAACTTCCACAGATTCGAATGCTGATTGTCGCAAAGAGATCAGAATGATAGTTGGACCTTGACCCGCACATATATTCTCCTACCTTCTGAGACCACCACTCCCCCGCAAATGCCGCATGCCACATTGTCTTCAGCGCCGGACGGAGGATCTAAAAGAGACCCACAGTCCGGACAGAAGATAAGCGAGTGCGCTTGCTTCTTTTGCTTTGACGTTCGTGTTGTTGTGGGGGCCATGAGTGCAAAAAGTTTTGGGTCGCAGATTCCCAACGGTTTTTGTTTGCAACTTTTACATGACTGTGTCAGCTGTGCCTCCATTCAATGGCACAGCATCTGACTGAGACAGTCCTTCAAAGCGTATCTTTTGGCATTGAACACGACGCCGCTGGATAGTGCACTCTGCATTGGCTTTTTCGCCTTGCTACCACGAAGATCCCTTCTACCACCCATACGTTCCAAATGTGCAGGTGGAAGCAGATCCTGAATGGGTAGGATTGAATGAGGTCATTTGTGACTATGAGACATTACCCTGATGATGTGTTCTACAGTTGGCGAAATAAGCAATGTTAGCTTTGTCTGTCCCTTTAAAGGGATAGATGTGACGGCAACCCCATTTAAGGAGTTTAGTGCCAAACCTTGTCAGGCGCTTGGGGTTCCGAAAGGGCGGGTCTGGAGAGCGTTGAAGGATAAAGCGGAAGCTCGTCAGCTAGATCGCATTTTTGCCGAACTTAAGGGTGTCAAAGACGAAGAGCGGATTTGTGCTGGACACTATGCGTTCTTAAGCGAGCTATGTAGGTCACCACGAAAGCAGCGCGAGGTAGAAGAGTATTTATCAAGGCATGGTACGCCAAAGCATGGCAAGAGACGGGGGAACGATGCGGGAGGAACAGTTCGGCGGCCGACACCTATGAATGGTGATGGTCTGGTTACCAAAAGTCCGCCTCCGCCAAGTGCGAGGGAGAGACGTCCTTCGACACCGAACCCAAATTCTACAAAGGAGAAAAAAGCGACCAATGGCGGGACGAGTGTCGGAGTAAATAAGAGGGCAGAAGCCCGAAGTCGAGCGGACAGCGAGGCCTCCAAAGCTTCCGTAGATGGAGGCCCATCTAAAGCAGCTCCAGCTTCTAGTATAGGACGAAAAGCGGGAGCAAAAACGTCATCCACAAGAGTAACATCGTCCACTCCTCCTCCCGGCCGCAGGATATCTCCATCCACATCTCCCACTCGGCCTAGCGGACGCGGCCGTGTTCAGGCAATTGCGGCCATATTTGCTGGTCCTCAAGAATCCGGTCAAAGCTCTCCTGCGAAACCGGCAACAAGGATACGGAAACCACCATCACAGTCGCCGATAACAACGACACCTGTAGGAAATGGCAAGATTGAGGATCATCTTACTGAGATAAGCCATGACAACGAAACTCTTCGACAACGTGTTGCACAGCTGGAGGCACTTCTCGAGAAAACCAAGCATGATGCCGAGTTGCAAGAGGGAGAATTGGCGGAGGCTGTCCTTCAACGGGAGGTTTTAGCGTCAGTGAGAGACGAGCTGATGAAGCAACTTCAGGATATGGCAGGAAACGCAAGCAAGACAACATTGCAGTTTGAGGAGTTCGAGACACTAAGCCGGAATCTTCGCGACACTACGCAACGCTTTGATGCTGCAAAGCAGGAGCTTGATACCCTACGCGGAGAGCTAGTTAGTGCACTCGCCCAACGAGACGGACAGGAACGAAATCGACAGGAACTCGCACGGGAATTAAAACGAGTAGAGAGTCGGGAAAGAGAGGCCAGCCGACGAGCCCAGCAATTGGAACAACAAGTTGAGGAGCTGCAGAAGGCATTGAAATCCAGCATGGAGGTGGAATCGGCCAGGACGGTAGATCTTGCAGAGCAAAAAGATACTGAAATTAGTAGATTAGAAAAGTATGGCAGGAGATTGAAGCTGGCAAGAGTGATTATTTTACTAATTGTGCTATTTTATGTGTAGCACTCTAGCAAAGCAAAAGGACGAGTTCTTGCATCATATCGAACAGATTGAGGAGCAAACACAACTTCATCGTCAGCAATGGGAAAGGGAACTACAAATCGCGCGTGAAGAAACGGCGCTGAAAACCGAGGAAGTGGAACAACTTCGGCGGCAACTGGAAGATTCACAGACCAATGAGGATACTATTTCACTCAATCAAATCAGCGAAGAAAGAGCCGTAAAGATTGTAAAACTAGAAGAACGTATTTTGGAGCTGGAAAGGTTACTACAAACCGCGCGTGAAGAAATGGCGCTGAAAACAGAGCAAGTGGAACAACTTCGGCGGCAGCTGGAGGATTCACAGACCAATGAGGATACTATTTCACCCAATCAAATCAGCGAAGAGCGAGCCGTAAAGATTGTAAAACTAGAAGACCGTATTTTGGAGCTGGAAAGGTTGGTGATTGGTGTATACAGAACGCTCTCTATATTGTGCATTCTCAATGACATTTTGTGAAGTCTCGTGGCAAAACAAGCCGGTACCGGAAACAGAGAGGATTCGTCACCACAATCCGAACAGGGTATGACATCGATGACGATAAACGATGGGTCGATGTACATGCAGCAGTTAAATGTATTGCGCACTGAATTGGCGACGATGGGTACCCGCTACGATGATTTGTCCGCTGCCCGCGATGGATTACAGAAGGAAGTGGAAGACGCAAGAAGGCGCTTGGCTGAGATAGGTGCAACGATCGTGGAGAAGGATCAAACCATTCATGATTTAAAGCGGTAAGTGATAGGTAAAGTTCATACCCGTGCCAAGTACATCTCGTCTGACGGCAATGCCTCATACTTGAAGGCAACTCAATCGGTGGTCTGATACCAGCAATAACAGCGGGCTATCTCAGGTTCTTGAGGAGAACCAGCGTTCGTCGCCAAAACTTGGCGGATCCGGCTTGACACGAGTGCCCTCTAGTACTGGGATGCAGAATGGACGAGCAAGTTGGGTGCTACCAGAAGTACCTGCTTCAGTTCATAATCCATTGTTGAGTTCTTATTTGTCATCTGAAGCGCCTCAAAATGAGGTGACTGGCGGCGAGTATAGCGCAATCAATGTTGTCCAGTCTCCGGCTGGAAATTCACAATCTCCAGACGAGGAAGACTACTTCTCGCAACCCTTAAGCCCAAAGCCTATTCGAGGAACTGCTGCTCGACATTCTCAACCCGGACCCGACATGTTACTACTCAAACGATACCCAAATGGTCCCCATCCCCTGCGATATCCACCAATGCGTCCTCCCTTTGTGCCCCTTCCGCGATCAACTTCCGCGCCTCCCCCGGAAGGGGATGACGCAAAGCCACCGTTAAGAACCAGAATATCTGCCGACACTATTCGGTTAGCGCACGGGGACGTTCTGCCAACCATCCTTGCGGATCTGGATACGGACAGTATGACAGATGGCGAGTTTGGGTTCCTTCGATTGCCCATTCTTGCAGGTGAATTTGATATCACGTCATATTTCCTTGACCTGTCGAGGAAAGAGTTGGCTGGATTTCCCTCTACCGTCCAAGTCAATCTTGCAAATCTGACGCATCTCTATCTCGATCGAAACCGCTTGATCGAGTTTCCCACAATTATTTTCAATGAGATGCCGAAACTACTGGTCTTGAATCTAACAGGAAACCAACTTGAACGGATTCCAAACGACATAGCGAATCTATGTCAACTTCGAGAGCTCTACCTAGCAGAGAATGCGATTTTCGATGTAGGCCATGGCATAGGAAAGTTGAGAAAGTTGGAGGTTTTGGACTTGAGCAGAAATCGAATCACAAATCTACCCTTTTCGCTATTCAAGCATACCGAGTCTCTGGAATGTGTCGATTTGTCACATAATCACCTCCGATTCTTACCGCCGTCTCTAGGACTTCTGCATAGGACTTTGAAAGGCCTATTTCTGATGGACAATCCCCTGGAGCCAACTTTCGCCAGGGGTATCGTCCAAACTTTGCTGAATGTCGATGTTGATGCAGCGAAAGCTGTCATGGAGGCAAATACATCTGATCGAGCCGCGGAAGCTGAAAGAATGCTACGAAGAATTTATGCAATGAACGCTGAAAAGGGGGACCGTCTAAGCTATGGAAGTCTATTATCAAATAAAAGTACCAGCCAATTAGGCGAAGAGGGGGATCGCGAAGGCGATGATGCTGATACCAGGAAGAGGCTTCCAAGTGCGGATAGCGGAGTCGGATGGGCGAAACGAACTGGCGACCTTAGCGCATCGCCTGAAGCGTATCCACTGATCAGGAGCGTTACAGACAGCTGTAAGTATTACCATCATACGTTTGCTGAGTCTGTGTTAACACATGTTGGCCCCATGGCGCTAACCGATTTTTTGCAGCCATATCATCAGGGTATTCTGAGTACCTTCCCCCGGCCCGTTTCGGTTCCCGACTAAGTACTGAGCTTTCGTATAGCTTGATTGAGGAGTTTGCACGACCGATACGGCTACGATGCGAGGGTCACTCGGAGAAGGCACTTCAGCGGCTGCTTTCCTTTCTCCGGGACGTCCATGACCTTGATCCCAACTCAGCTCACCATCAAGTTCAAGAGACTCAACCATATACCTCGTCGTTCTCTTCATTGGCTGACGAGCAGGTGCCTTCTGTGAAACCCCCATCCACGACGTCCCTGGAGAGAAGAGCCCGAGTTATTGGTGAAATGGTGGCGACGGAGAAGACCTATGTTCGAGAGTTACAAAATCTTGTGGAGTTGTATATGAATAGGATGCAAAAAGAACAATGGCTGAGTCAAAGGGACATGGATGCGCTCTTCGGCAACGTAAAAAGCATTCTGATGATCCATCGGGAGTAAGTCACCTGTATTATCGCGCGAGATGAATCTTGCGTTGTCACTGACGATCCTCCGTTCGATTTATTCTGTGCAATAGCCATCTCTTACCGGACTTGATAAAAAAGAGCAATCAACAATCGCAGCCCATCGGGTCTGTCTTCTTGGCCATTGCACCATTCCTGAAGATGTATTCACAATATTACAACAATTTTGATACGGCAAATACGTATTTGTCCCAACTGGAAGCATTCGCTACTTCGTCATCCACTACCTTTTCAAGCACGTCCGGATCTCCATATCCATCTTCCCCTACCGTATCGTCGAGAATGTCATCGGGAGCGTCACTGGGATCAGTTTCAATTAGCCCAACGCCTACACCTTTCGCGTTGAAGAAGCCGATAATCAAGAAAATCCGTCACTTCTTACGACATGTCAAGGAGCATCCTCAGCATACGCAGATGAGATACAAGAGTATATTTATAGTCTATACTGGAAGATTTCTACATCAATTCATTGGTTCTGCGATACTTGTACCAATCATAACTAGTAAAGCTAGTAGGCACTACTATAAGATGTAACTAAGGAGTGTAGTAGGT